TGTGAAAAAAACTATCGCTACCTCTGAAAAAAGCTTAAAAAAAATACCAGATTAAAAAAAATTCTTAAAAAAAAAGTTCTGCCATAGAAAAATAAAAAAATATCATCAAACCATTTCTAAGCCCCAAATCTTTAATAAAAAGTTGGTTTTGTTCCTTGAGGAAAAATCGTGTTGACTAGTGTTATTTGTAGATAAATACATAAATTAATTGTATTAAACATAAATAAGAATATTATTAAAATCACGTCTCGGCTCTTTCTACCGCAGCTATTAATTCGGTATTATCTTCCTCGAGCGAAGAACTTCCTCGAATCGACTATACTGTCATCATCCGGGAAGTTGAATGTTTCGTCTGAATTTCGTCAATCGGAGCAGCAGCCATTATGTCATCAAGACTATCATCCCATACAATATCACTTAAGACGTTCCGTTGCATTATATATTCTTGCGTTTTAATTCCGAATATCAGCGAAAGGTCCACGGAGTCGGGCTGGGTGTCCAGATCTATAGTTGTCTCAGGTGGCGAGTTTATAAAAATAATTTCGAGGTCATCCATCTTCGTTTAGAATCCACTAGTTTATGATAAGGCTTGTAGCTATTATATAGGCATGTAACCATAGGACAGTGTTAGGCATACACACAGACAAAAGAAATGAAAACGAAAGTAAACGAACAGTCAAGGTGCTAGGAGGACTTTTTACAGAAAAACCCAATAAATGAATCTGTATCCATGTAGAGTATTTTTGATGATGGGCATTTTAGAGAATGAAAATTATAGAATAGTCATACATTAACCATTTTGAAAGTTCTAGTACACAAACTCCAATGTATATTGGTTTATCATACAAAATTCTTGATTTAGTGGACTCAATGGCAGCTAAATTTTCACCAAAGATTTCAACACTATGAAAATTATGTCTAGCTATGCGTTGTCTAAACCCTGCTGAATTCTGCCTTGAATCATAATGTTTAATTAATGTGACCTCACGACGCTTTTCTACATTCTCCATCGTTTTACCGTAGACAGCATTAACCATTAATTTATAAAATTTTATCTCAAACTCATTCTTAGCTACTTTTCTATGGGATGTATTTAGATCAATATAGGGTTTAAGCCAACAGGATTACTTAAAAGATAATACTCGGGATATTTTTTCTAAAATCATACCTTCTTCTATACATAACTGCAACTGCTTCAAATGTATTATATATAATATAATTATATAAAGTAGCTATTATATAGGCACTCAACTAGAGGACAGTTTGGGAATACAAACCGAGGAGGGATTTAAACAGAATAGTAAAAAAAGGTTTAAGGTCAACGAGATCCTTTTACAGGTAAATGCTTTGGAAAAAAACTACCTCTAAACTATCACATCAGATATAGTTCAAGGAGATGAAAAACCTGTTTGACAGTGTTTTTGAGGAGCTGAGTGGAGGGAGGGTTTAAGGGGGACCGGTTTGAGAGAGAGAGAGGGAGAATGTAAGGATTGATTTTGATTTGTCACAATTTTCAGGTAAAAAAAAAATCGATATTGATTTTACAGAATTTCCAGAGGAGAAAAGAACTTAGTTCACATTTTCACCGATAGTGCATTTTTAGGTAAAAAAAAATCGATATTGATTTTACAGAATTTCCAGAGGAGAAAATAACTTAGTTCACATTTTCACCGATAGTGAATTTTCAGGTAAAAAAAAATCGATATTGATTTTACAGAATTTTCAGAGGAGAAAATAACTTAGTTCACATTTTCACCGATAGGGGGCGCCACCAAGTAGTAATGAAAAGGGACCTTCTACGTGTTGCGAGTAAATCCTAAATTCGCAACATGTTGCTTAAGGATGTGAAACATGATATTTGATTCAACAACCCTATTCTCAGCAACATGTGGTTTTCAAATAAATGGTTTCAGTTTCTGATATTTACCATGATCATGTTCAAATAAATATTTTTTTTTATATTGATTTGGGAAAATAAATGGTTTCAGTTTCTGATATTTACCATGATCATGTTGAAATAAAATAATTTATAAAAATATATATGGTTTTAGTTTCTGATATTTACCATAATCATATCCTTTAAGAGTAGAGTTACCTATATTTATATATAGGATGTGCAATCAATGAATAAAAGTATAAGATGAATGCAAAGAGAACTTATTATAGTAAATATACGAAGAAGGTCCCTTTTCATTACTACTTGGTGGCGCCACCTATCGGTGAAAATGTGAACTAAGTTATTTTCTCCTCTGGAAATGTAAATCAATATCGATTTTTTTTACCTGAAAATTCACTATCGGTGAAAATGTGAACTAAGTTATTTTTTCCTCTGGAAATTCTGTAAAATCAATATCGATTTTTTTTTACCTGAAAATTCACTATCGGTGAAAATGTGAACTAAGTTCTTTTCTCCTCTGGAAATTCTGTAAAATCAATATCGATTTTTTTTACCTGAAAATTGTGACAAATCAAAATCAATCCTTACATTCTCCCTCTCTTCTCTCTAAACGAGTTCTACCCTTTGATCCTTCCTCTCACTCAGGCTCTTCGAACACTGTCAAACAGGTTTTTCATCTCCTTGAACTATATCTGATGTGATAGTTTAGAGGTAGTTTTTTTCCAAAGCATTTACCTGTAAAAGGATCTCGTTGACCTTAAACCTTTTTTTACTATTCTGTTTAAATTCCTTCTCTGTATTGTATTCCCAACACTGTCTATTGAGTGCCTATATAATAGCTACTCACAGCTATAAGCTATTACAGAAACTAGTAAACTGTATACAAAGATGGATAACCTAGAGGTCATTTTTATTGAGTCGCAACCGGAGGAAACCATAAATCTGGATTCTCAGCCAGACTCCGTGGACCTGTCACTGATTTTTTGGAATTAAAACCCAAAATTATCTCAAAGGAATTGGGATCCTATTAATGAGATTAAAATGGGATGATGATAGTGAGGATGATGACCTCATGATATCATCACAATACATTTTTGAGGAATATGTCGGTGAGGACTCCATGACTGAAACGCCATTCGTTTTGCCGGATGATGATCATATTTTCGATTTGGTCGATGATCAAGACTGCGGCGAAAGGGGATCGACTCAGGGATCTACTTCGGGATGAAGATGACGCTGAGTTAATAGCGGCGTTGGAAAGAACTGAGGCTGGATTTAAATAAGGCGAGAAAGCATATGTATAATAAAAATATTCGATGTATTTTTCTAATCATAATATTATATACATACATACATAGGTATAATAAATAGAATACTACATTTAAGAAATTTATTTTCAATGTTTCCTTACTTCTGATTGGGTGAATTTCACTTCCTACTATTACATGTTATATCCCCCAGAGAATCATAGGATTCGTTTGAAACAGGTTTTCCAAGCGAGGATTACACAAAAGAATAAGTGCATTTCAGGTATAGGTACCTGGTATTGAATGTATTTATTGGTTGAATTTCACATCCTATTATTACATAGTCAGCAGAAGAAATCGTTTTGAAACCGGTTTTAAACGAGTACTGAACCTGTTGAATACAAAAGACTGAGTAGGCGTTAGGCAGATAAATAGAACGCTTTTTATGAAAAACTCTTAGTTCTCTTCTAATAGTGAAAGTGATCAAACAAAATATAAAAATTTCAAAATGAATCCCGAAATCGCGTGCACTATGTGTTCAGAGTTTGTTAAATTAACAGAGTTCGCCTCTCACTACGACAGTTGCGTAGGACCGCGGATTCCGATTGAGTGCAATCTATGCTGATAAATCCTTAGAGGAACAGAGATCGACTCTCATTATGAGAGTTGCTTATTTCCCCAGAAAAAAGTTGAGTGCGATCTATGTTTGAATTTCCTCGACTTAGCAGAGCTAGACTCTCATTATGAGGTATGTTCTGCTCAAAGAAATGCTTTCAACGTGCTAATGAGGAAATCTTCTTCGACAACTTGACCTCCGAGAACAGTCAACTTCAAGATCTTCAAAACGGCCTAGAATGAATGCACCAGCGGAAAACATTGACTGTGCAATATGCGGTGAGAGTTACACTCCCTCGAAGGAAAAGCGCCATATTATGTCTGAAAAGCATAAGAATGCCGCTGCAGACCAAATACATAACAATCCTAATATTATCAACCTGGCATCAAACTCGAAATTTCCCATAAAATCATATCGGGTTCAATCCAGTAAAAGTAATCGGATTGACTTAAAAGATTTTTATAATGATTGTAAAAATGATATAATCAATTTACTTAATTGTTGTTTGAGCGAGTACAGAGCCGTAAAGTTCAATTTAAAAGTATATGGTCTGTATGTCAAGCAAACTGATGATGAAACCTTGACAGAAACAATGAAGCATTTCATAACTTCATACAAACCCATATATGAGCAAGAGTTCATTGATGAACACTTAAATAACGCTCTGGAAAACCTTATAACTTTAAGCAGCGAATTCCAGGAGAAGGATTCAGGTTGGGCTATAAAAAATTTTAAATATTTTGAGTTAACAATAATTAAACTGGAACACATCCCTGCAAGGGGGTATATAGAAGCTCCTAAAAAAATAAAACAGAGCTATCATCTTTTGCAACTAAATATGAGTATGCTTTTGCTTTTAATCCTGCAAAAGAGGTCATTATCCGACCTGCATTTTCGTCTTTCATTAAACCTAGTTCCTTGTTATTAGCACGATGTATACCGAATCTGTTTGAGGTTTGATAGTTTGATGTGTCAAAGCGACTAGGATTGTCTTTAATTAGTTCATAAAAATCTTCTTCTGATGATATAATAAATGAATCTGTATCCATATAAAGTATTTTTGATGATGGACATTTTACGGAATGGAAATTATAGAAATAGTCGTACATTAACCATTTTGAAAGTTCTAATACACTAACTCCAATGTATATGGGTTTATCATAATAAATTTTTGATTTAGTTGATTCAATTGCAGCTAAATTATCTCCAAAGACTTCAACACTGTGAAAATTATGTCTAGCTATGCGTTGTCTAAACCCTGCGGAATCGTTTTGCCGCATACGGCATTGACCATTAATTTAAAAAAGTTTATCTCAAACTCATTTACAGCTAATTTTCTTAGTGTTGTATTTAGGTCAATATAAGGCTTTAACCAACAGGACTGTTTAAAAGATAGTATTCGAGATATTTTTTCTACAATCATACCTTGCTCTATACATAACTGCAGCTGTTTTAAATGTATTATATAATTCTTTTTATCTGATAAATCAGCTATTAATTTGGGCTGCTTTCCTCCTGGCGGAATTTTATTTTCGGGGCAGAATGGTAAACTATTATGTTTATTATGAACATTTTTAGGATATTTCAGATCTACTTCTAATATGTATCCTATATTACCTCTGGCTGATATATTAAGAGCGTTGAAAGATAAAATTTCATTATTACTTAGAAATTTAAAATTGGAATATGGAAGTGGTTGACTCATAGCCCATCCATATAAATTGTTGGCGTCAATATATGTCAGGTAGTTTATAGGATCGCTAGACTTGAATTTGTCATTTAAGTATTTGTTATTTGCTGTAGCGATCCTTTGGGTACATTGAGTCAACCCTCCCCGGACTGCAGTTTTTAAAAAGTTATAAATATCAGGATCACTTATAAGTTCCAATTCTATCTTTGTGTATTTAAGCATTGCATCCCATGAAACTGAAGGAGCAGTAACATAATTAATGGGATCTAGTCTGTATACTCGTGAACAAAGAGTTCTAAAATTTTCGAATACATCGGCAAGAATTAGAACATCGCTTTCCAAGTATAATTTTAAGTAATCTCTAATACTAGTACAGTTAAACATTCTCCACACGCTCTGAGCAAAGTTATAATCTTCCACGCTACATTCCTCATCATTCAGAGAATTATAAAAATATTCCCTTGAAGGGAGCTGGGATTCCTCAAATTTTTGAAAACTATCTAAATAGTCATAGGGAAATACTCCTTTTCTTCGTAGCATGTCAAATTTTTCGTTTTGATATTTGCTGTTCAATATTTTGAAATTGGATACATCCATATAGCTAGCAAGTTTTTCTAAGCTCGAATTTAAAAATCTATTTGAATCTATGTATCTTATTTTATATTGATGAAGATGTGAATCAAGCTTGCAAGTTTGAGTTAACGCAATATATAACTCTTTATTGCAAGGAATGGGTTTCAATTCATCTCTTATCGATGTTACAAATAAGTGGATGTCATATCGAGACAAGTTGTGACACACTACAGGGAAAAAGGGATCGCTTAATCTAAATGTTTGTTTACAGACCTTATGAATAGGCCCTACATATTGGCCCGTGAATTGATTGAAGTATTTTTCACGATCATCAACCAAAATTTGCTCATCGCAGGCACAGCACGCTTCGTGTTCCTGACAGTCTTCATCCCAAATATTGAATTCATATATGGGCTTTTTACTAGATTTCCAGTACTTCTCATAAAGGCCATCAGTTTTAGCCCTAAGCACTTGACAGAATTTTTCAATACAATCAGGTCCTGAAATAACGAAGTCGTAATGCTTAGAGTTTATTTATATTTATTTATTTATTTATTTTATAATATTTACCTTCATATGTCCACATTTCATTTAGATGAGGATTGTATTTATGTGCAACATAAAATGAAACTGCACATGCTGTATGCCTCTGCGCCATAGTAGTCGATGATTTGGAGGGATCATTAAGATTTCTATGGAAATTTTCCAAAACAGCCTCGATGTCAGCATAAATTACGACTGGGGGTGAAAGTTTTTTCGACCAACTTTTAAATATGGTTTTAGTATTGGGTTCTGGATATAGAGCCGCAACTTTTCCACACTCCTTAGTGTCGTGAATAGTATTTGTAGTACTATAAAATTGCAAACAGTTATCGCAAAAATATGCTGCACTATGAGATTTACTATGTTGGCAATAGCATAACTTCTTCATGCACGTTATATAGGCATAATGCATCATTTGCATATCACTATTGATGCCTAGCAAGTTTATATGATTAGGACGAATTTTATTAGTCCTCACTGTGGGTCCCACAACGTTTTTACCATTATCATCAATTTCATATATATTGATGCTGAAATCCTCATTGGCTTTTTCGAATCGCTTTATTCCTTTGCTTGTTATTGGAAACTCAATCTCAGAAAAATCGAGTCTAAAACCGTTATAATGAATTATTTCCTGGTTTATGTTTAAAATGCGATAGCTTGATGGGATTGCTAATTTGTCTCGAGCCAACCTTTTTTCAACTGATCTTGTAAATGTAGTTTCTGCATGTCTTTTATATTCTAATGATTCTAAAATACACCACTTGAAACAAAAATCATCTACATTTTTAACATTGATGATAGCATTTCGTGATTTTATTTTTTTAGGAGCTTCTATATACCCCCTTGCAGGGATGTGTTCCAGTTTAATTATTGTTAACTCAAAATATTTAAAATTTTTTATAGCCCAACCTGAATCCTTCTCCTGGAATTCGCTGCTTAAAGTTATAAGGTTTTCCAGAGCGTTATTTAAGTGTTCATCAATGAACTCTTGCTCATATATGGGTTTGTATGAAGTTATGAAATGCTTCATTGTTTCTGTCAAGGTTTCATCATCAGTTTGCTTGACATACAGACCATATACTTTTAAATTGAACTTTACGGCTCTGTACTCGCTCAAACAACAATTAAGTAAATTGATTATATCATTTTTACAATCATTATAAAAATCTTTTAAGTCAATCCGATTACTTTTACTGGATTGAACCCGATATGATTTTATGGGAAATTTCGAGTTTGATGCCAGGTTGATAATATTAGGATTGTTATGTATTTGGTCTTAGCGGCATTCTTATGCTTTTCAGACATAATATGGCGCTTTCCTTGAGGAGTGTAACTCTCACCGCATATTGCACAGTCAATGTTTTCCGCTGGTGCATTCATTCTAGGCCGTTTTGAAGATCTTGAAGTTGACTGTTCTCGGAGGTCAGTTGTCGAAGAAGATTTCCTCATTAGCACGTTAAAAGCATTTTTTGAGCAGAACATACCTCATAATGAGAGTCTAGCTCTGCTAAGTCGAGGAAATTCAAACATAGATCGCACTCAACTTTTTTCTGGGGACCTAAGCAACTCTCATAATGAGAGTCGATCTCTGTTCCCTCTAAGGATTTATAGCATAGATTGCACTCAATCGGAATCCGCGATCCTACGCAACTGTCGTAGTGAGAGGCGAACTCTGTTAATTTAACAAACTCTGAACACATAGTGCACGCGATTTCGGGATTCATTTTGAAATTTTTATATTTTGTTTGATCACTTTCACTATTAGAAGAGAACTAAGAGTTTTTCATAAAAAGCGTTCTATTTATCTGCCTAACGCCTACTCAGTGTTTTGTATTCAACAGGTTCAGTACTCGTTTAAAACCGGTTTCAAAACGATTTCTTCTGCTGACTATGTAATAATAGGATGTGAAATTCAACCAATAAATACATTCAATACCAGGTACCTATACCTGAAATGCACTTATTCTTTTGTGTAATCCTCGCTTGGAAAACCTGTTTCAAACGAATCCTATGATTCTCTGGGGATGTAACATGTAATAGTAGGAAGTGAAATTCACCCAATCAGAAGTAAGGAAACATTGAAAATAAATTTCTTAAATGTAGTATTCTATTATTATACCTATGTATGTATGTATATAATATTATGATTAGAAAAATACATCGAATATTTTTATTATACATATGCTTTCTCGCCTTATTTAAATCCAGCCTCAGTTCTTTCCAACGCCGCTATTAACTCAGCGTCATCTTCATCCCGAAGTAGATCCCTGAGTCGATCCCCTTTCGCCGCAGTCTTGATCATCGACCAAATCGAAAATATGATCATCATCCGGCAAAACGAATGGCGTTTCAGTCATGGAGTCCTCACCGACATATTCCTCAAAAATGTATTTGATGATATCATGAGGTCATCATCCTCACTATCATCATCCCATTTAATCTCATTAATAGGATCCCAATTCCTCTCGAGATAATTTTGGGTTTTAATTCCAAAAATCAGTGACAGGTCCACGGAGTCTGGCTGAGAATCCAGATTTATGGTTTCCTCCGGTTGCGACTCAATAAAAATGACCTCTAGGTTATCCATCTTTGTATACAGTTTACTAGTTTCTGTAATAGCTTATAGCTGTGAGTAGCTATTATATAGGCACTCAACTATATGACAGTGTTGGGAATACAATACAGAGAAGGAATTTAAACAGAATAGTAAAAAAAGGTTTAAGGTCAACGAGATCCTTTTACAGGTAAATGCTTTGGAAAAAAACTACCTCTAAACTATCACATCAGATATAGTTCAAGGAGATGAAAAACCTGTTTGACAGTGTTTTCGAAGAGCCTGAGTGAGAGGAAGGATCAAAGGGTAGAACTCGTTTAGAGAGAGAGAGGGAGAATGTAAGGATTGATTTTGATTTGTCACAATTTTCAGGTAAAAAAATCGATATTGATTTTACAGAATTTCCAGAGGAGAAAATAACTTAGTTCACATTTTCACCGATAGTGAATTTTCAGATAAAAAAAAATCGATATTGATTTTACAGAATTTCCAGAGGAGAAAATAACTTAGTTCACATTTTCACCGATAGGTGGCGCCACCAAGTAGTAATGAAAAGGGACCTTCTTCGTATATTTACTATAATAAGTTCTCTTTGCATTCATCTTATACTTTTATTCATTGATTGCACATCCTATATATAAATATAGGTAACTCTACTCTTAAAGGATATGATTATGGTAAATATCAGAAACTAAAACCATATATATTTTTATAAATTATTTTATTTCAACATGATCATGGTAAATATCAGAAACTGAAACCATTTATTTGAAAACCACATGTTGCTGAGAATAGGGTTGTTGAATCAAATATCATGTTTCACATCCTTAAGCAACATGTTGCGAATTTAGGATTTACTCGCAACACGTAGAAGGTCCCTTTTCATTACTACTTGGTGGCGCCACTATCGGTGAAAATGTGAACTAAGTTATTTTCTCCTCTGGAAATTCTGTAAAATCAATATCGATTTTTTTTTACCTGAAAATTCACTATCGGTGAAAATGTGAACTAAGTTCTTTTCTCCTCTGGAAATTCTGTAAAATCAATCATCGATTTTTTTTTACCTGAAAATTGTGACAAATCAAAATCAATCCTTACATTCTCCCTCTCTCTCTAAACGAGTTCTACCCTTTGATCCTTCCCCTCACTCAGGCTCTTCGAAAACACTGTCAAACAGGTTTTTCATCTCCTTGAACTATATCTGATGTGATAGTTTAGAGGTAGTTTTTTTCCAAAGCATTTACCTGTAAAAGGATCTCGTTGACCTTAAACCTTTTTTTACTATTCTGTTTAAATTCCTTCTCTGTATTGTATTCCCAACACTGTCCATAGTTGAGTGCCTATATAATAGCTACTATTATTTGTAGAAAAATACATAAATTAATTGTATTAAACATAAATAAGAATATTATTTAAATTACGTCTCGGCTCTTTCTACCGCAGCTATTAATTCGGCATTATCTTCGTCGCGAAGAACTTCCTCGAATCGTTTTCGGTCCCCTTCGTCATTATCATCGACCAAATCGAATATACTGTCATCATCCGGGAAGTTGAATGTTTCGTCTGAGTTTCGTCAATCGGAGCAGCAGCCATTAGGTCATCAAGACTATCATCCCATACAATATCACTTAAGACGTTCCGTTGCATTATATATTCTTGCGTTTTAATTCCGAATATCAGCGAAAGGTCCACGGAGTCGGGCTGGGTGTCCAGATCTATAGTTGTCTCAGGTTGCGAGTTTATAAAAATAAATTCGAGGTCATCCATCTTCGTTTAGAATCCACTAGTTTATGATAAGGCTTGTAGCTGTGAGTAGCTATTATATAGGCATGTAACTATAGGACAGTGTTAGGCATACACACAGACAAAAGAAATGAAAACGAAAGTAAACGAACAGTCAAGGTGCTAGGAGGAGCTTTTACAGAAAAAACCATTAGCACCATTAAACCATAAGACCAATAGAGATAAACGACCCCAAAAAAATAGTGCCGCAGATTCATTTGAAAGGGACGGGATGAAACATTTGCTTGAGGGATGTTTGAATCGTTGTAGGGAACCAATCACATAAGCAGAGAGAGGGATAGTTGTTTGATGGTTGCTGTCCAGGAATATTGATCCTGGATTTTTGACAAAGTTAGTTCACCTCTTGACCGCTAGATGGCGCCACAAAAGTAGTAAAGATATAGTAAGTGCTGTAAAGGGAACGACTCCAGGATCTACTTCGGGACGAAGATAACGCTGAGATAATAGAAGCGGTAGAAAGAATTGAGGCTGAATTTTATGTATAATGTATTATGTATAATATTCGATGTATTTTTTCAATTTATAATATATACATATAATAAATATAATACTACATTTAAAAATATTTTGTTTTTGTTTCCTTACTTTTGATTGGGTGAATTTCACTTTCTCTTATTACCTGTTACATCCCCAAGATAATCATAGGATTCGTTTGAAACCGGATTTACACCGGTTTA